AATTCAATGTGATGATTTTGTCAAAGTCTTCAAGGATTGATTTATTTCGCCTTCAGCCAGATTAGCACAAGATAAATCCTCCAATCTAACTCAAGGATTCAGGTCACCTATGCAATATGAGACAATCTACTTTTCTTTCCATATATGTGCTTTACTATGTCAGTATCTAGGAAGAAAAATGTCATAATTTTCTGCGTGATCTCAGAGATCAGTTGAGGTTGACTTTGACACCAGTGATTTCTCAGTGCTAGTTGAAAGCGTGAGACGAATTGAAAATGAACTGAACTTCTTTAGTCAGGGGTGACAATCTTCGGCAAACAAGAGAAAATATTTTGGCTAGAAATACTAATTTTTGGATGAAGTGTGAAAAAACGTATTTAGTACAATGTTTATACCAAAAAAAATCAGAGCTTGAAATCAGGCATGAAGCAAGCGACATTTTCCCAACAGTTTTTTCTTCATGTCGTTTTTCCTCCCATTGAGATCTGTTTTGTGGAGAATTCTCTGTTGTTGGCTTCCCAACAATATTTTTTCCATAAAGAGCTATTGCATATTTGCCATGTAAATCTATAGTCACTGGTTCCCCTAGATGCTATCGTTTTTCACCCCAACTATCGTCGGTTCCCCTAGTTGCTGCCGTTTTCCACCCCAACTGTCGTCGGTTCCCCTCTTCCCTACTGGTTTTCTAAAGGTTGTTGTCATTGATCCTTTTGGCAGATAGTTACAGCCATCGAACATCCCAACGCTGAAATGTTGATCCCTGGATTCCAATCTCGGACCTTCTTGTAGAGATACTGAAACGTTGATCCCTGGATTCCCTTCGAGGGATATCACGTGGGCAACCAATCATGGATTACTGCAACCCTCTCACCGACTGTCTCTCCCAACAAGATTTCTACCGGACCTCTATCGCCCGACTCTTCCTCTCATCGACAACCCCTTTCTGATGAGTTGTGTGTTGATAGCTTCTTTATCGTCCCTTCCAGTTGTAGAACTTTCCCGTTGCTCTTCCTTGCATGAACTTCCCACTATTCCTACGCGGAGGACTTTTTCGCAGGAAACAAAGCTGTTTTTTTCAGTTGTTCTTCCCAGTCGCAGAAAACAATGCAGCTCTTTCCCTGAAATTCAACGCTGCTTCCTGTCATTGCTTGATGTTTCTTGATGTTCTTCCATAAAAATTCAACGTTGGTTCCTGTTGCCTAATCTGTCGACGACCCTTTCTCCCACAAATATTTTTTCTTCCGTGCGCAGGCGTTGAGGGTCTCTGCAGCAAAAGTGGTCAGAGGGAAAGA